TTTTTTTTTAATCTATTCAATGAATAATGTCTTCTAAATATCGGCCAAATTTGTACTGCATTTTTATTTAAATGCATTTTCGTATTTTCCTTGCAGCCAACATTTTAACATTCTACATGATCTGCTTCCGTAAGTGTGGGATGTCAGACACAGCCAGCGTTTACCTGAGCTGCCTGGCCATTGCTGACACCCTCTACATAATCTGGGTGATCCTCATCGACCTGACCCTCACCTTTTGGCTGCTGCAGCCTTTCTGGCATTCTCACCCCTGGTGTGGCATTCTGGGATTCCTACAGTACGGATCGCTGTACAGCTCCTGCTGGATTGTGGTGATGTTCACCATTGAGCGTTACTTAGTCCTACGCAGTACCCGGAGCAAACAGCACTTCTCCCAGACCTGGGTTACAAAGATGACCTGTACTGCTATTTTCTTTGTGTCTCACTTGGTCTCTGTGCCACTGGGATGGATCAACCATGTCTCAAACGTTACCCTCGTTGTTAATGGACAAAATGTGACTTTGCCCAGGTGTCAGTACCGTGATAAAGTCTATTCAACCGTAATCGTTTGGATAACCACTTTCCTTTCAGGGGGAGTCCCCATCGTGTTGGTCATCATCTTCAATTTCCTTATTGGATTTCACCTTTGTCGCGTAAGCAACCTCTTCACCAAGGAGGAGCGGCGTGTCATTCACGGAACTTGCACTAGGGGTTTGTTGAAGAGGACCATCCTGTTGTTGGGCACCGTCTCTGCAGCCTTTGTTTTCCTCAGCCTTCCTCGCTTTATCACGTACAGCATCCTGAGAACCCAGCACAACAACGGGAACTTCAACAGGAATGACTACAGCCTGCCCATTAACGTGGCCGGGGACCTGGCCAACATGCTGCAGAACCTGAATTCCACCACCAATTTCCTGCTCTACTGCATGGTCAGCCGCCGCTTCCGTCGTGAGCTGGTGCAAGCGGTGACTTGTAAAGCGAAACCGCACGATCATGGTTCTGTTCTCACCCAAACTACCTTGAAGGTCTTCTCAGTCCTGGATCGTAAGGACTTCCCATC